AAGATTATATTATTAAAGTTCTTGAAATTATTTTTAAATAGATTTTATAAGTTCTTATTAAATATTATAAGATATTATTATAAGTATAAGATCTAGAGCCTAGAAAGTAGAGTTAGACTATCTCTATTCCGATAATTTAAAGCTAAAGAGAGAAGAGGATCTTGAAGGAGCCTCGGATCTAAATAATCGCGAGCTATATACGGGCCCACGTGCTAGCTTAAGCTCGTAACACGTGACCTCACGTGCAACCGTCAGGTAACTATAGATACCAGATACTCAGATACCAGATACTCTCAGATGTTATACTAGGCATCTGAGTATTCCGACCTCGACTTCGTATATCTAGCTAGTTCTAGTCTAACTCCTACTAGTACCGTATATTATAATAACTATAATAGATATACTAATATAGCTTAGTATTTAAATATTTCCGAAGATTTGCCTTTATAATATTTATAATATTAATTCTATTCTTTTATTTTTTTAATTAGCTTTTTTTTCTTTTTATTATTTATATTATATATCACGTGTGCGGCTAGTTACGTAATGCGTACTATACTCTCATATAGTAAAATAGCTAATAAGGCTTCTAACCTTATTATTATATCTTTTAGTCTAATTACTTATATAATAAAGCTATTTCCCTATATATGTATTTATTAGTCTAAGTAACTTGTAATAGAATAATAAGGTTCCCAGTTTTTATATATCTGAAATTAAGTAATATACTACTACTTAGTAAGGCCATATAGTTAAAACCGATTAGTACTCTGAGATTACTTAGTAAGTAGCTAGCTAGACCCCACACTGCCTACTACTTTATAACGAGGGTATTTGGCTAGTAAGTCGACTCTAAGTCCAAGTAAGGTTATAATTAATTATATAAGTACTAAAGAGCTTCCCTAAAAGCAGTACCTGAGTCCCGTAGTAGCTCGGGAATAAGCCTAGCTAGAAGAAAAGAGTAATATTATAGTTATATATTATATATATAGCTAGTTATATAATATATACTATACTCTCATATAGTAAAATAGCTAATAAGGCTTCTAATCTTATTATTATATCTTTTGGTCTAATTACTTATATAATAAAGCTATTTCCCTATATATATATCTATTAATCTCAGTAACTCGTAATAATTTATATTAAATTAAACTTAGTTTTTTTCTAATATATATATATATATATATATAATTTATAATAAGAGGTATTTAGAAGTAAGGTAATTTATAATAGATTTATAAAAAGAATTTAGTAATAAAAGTATTAGATATTAATTAAAATAAATATTTTACTCTTTATTAGAATAGCTATATTATAAATTCCTGGTTATATAACTAGTTATATAAGCTTATATTACAGGTATAACTCGACTAGTAAACTAGTTCTCTTTAGGTTTAGTAGATTTAGGGATTATATATTAATATTATAATACCATAATCCTTATTTCTAAATAATAATAACTTTACTAACCTTATATAAATAGTATTCTATAACTATATAATAATACTATATATTACTAATAAACTAATATTTTTAAATATTTGATTTATAATAAGATATTTAGAAAGTAAAATATTATAATTTCGAGAGAATTTAAAGCTTAAAGAGCTCAATTTAATAATAAAATTATAATTATAATTAAAGAGCTTTAAAAGTATATATATTTTTAAAGAAAGAATTTTATAAATTCGAATATTATATAAATAAATAAAATAATTACTAAGAAATTAATTTTAGGACTAAAAGAAATTAGTTTTAAAAAATAATAAATATTAAATAATTAATTAATTAAATAGCTAATTACTAATTAATTAATAAAAGCTAATATTATTTTTAAGCTATTAAATACTTTTTCGAAGTTAATAATAATTCTTTTAACTAGAAATAAACTTATTTATTTTAGGCTATTAAATGCTTTTTTAATTAGTTAGATCTTTTTCTAATCTATATATATATAAGCTAATTAGTATTAATTTACTAGTAATATATAGTATTATTATATAATATATATAAAATACTAGTATATTAAGTTAATAAAGTAATTAATATTTAGAAATAAGAATTATAATATTACAATATTAATATATAATTCCTAAATTTACTAAGCTTAATAAAAACTAACTACTAATTAAATTATATATAAAAAGCAAGATTATATAACTATATTCCGTTTCTTATATTTTATTACTTATATTTCATTATTTATATCTTATATTTCGAGTTTTATAACTATATATATAACTTTTAAAGAAATAGCTATACTAATAATAATATAATTTTTAATATAATTAGTTTAATTTAAAATATACTTTTATATAAATTTTTTTTTAATAATTATATTATAAATTATTTAAGTTCCTTTATTTAAATAATAATTTAAGCTAAAAAAATTATATTTAATATAATAGTACTAGCTAGAATTATATAAAAATAGCTATTACTTAACTAGTTTTATTTAAATAGCCAGTATTTTAATAATTTTAAATAGTATTTTTTTATTTTTTTTTTATTTCTTCTTTTTTTTCTTTAGCTTAATATTTTTAATATATGAAATTCTCGGATCTTTAAGCCTTAATTATTACTTTAATTCCGCTATTATATCCGGTACTAAATTTTAATAAAGAGTTTAATAAAAAGCTTTTTAGAAAATAACTTATTATAATATATAAAGAGCTTTTTAGAAACTGATTTTATAAGAATAATTTATTATAATATATAAAGAGCTTTTTAGAAAGTAGCTTATTATAATATATAAAAAGCTTTTTAGAAAGCAATTTCTAGGGAAATAGCTTTTAAAAAAATAACTTCTTGAGAAATAGCTTATTGCAATATATAAAGAGCTTCTTATAAATAGTAAGTATGAGTCTCAGTATAATTTTAGTGCAATTCCAAGCCTAATTTTGAGTAGCATGCAATTCGTAGCTTTGAATTTCATAGTTTTGGTGTTCTGGTGCTCAAGTGCTCGGGTGCTCGAGTGTTTTGACCCTTCACCGCCTAAAATTCTGCCCTACCTACTCCGTAATAGTAGCGAGTTTACCAGGGTGAAACAACGAACTACGCGATTGGTCAGCCTTGGGAGACGTCTCCCACTTAAGCGAGGCACGGTTGAGGAACCGGCCTATCTGTCTGTCTTCCCATATTGATTTGAACCTAGATACAAACATGGCTGAGCGTATAAACATCAATCCTAACCCTCCGATTCTAAAAAATACACCGGTCCCGGCTAAAAATAACCGTTCATAGCTTCCTTCGGCCCCGCGCCCTTGAAATCGCATTCGAAATCCTCGCATGCGGTAATAGCCACTTCCAGATGGGACATAGTCACCTGGCATCCCTCTTGAATAGCCAGAGCTTGAGCCATTAAAACCAGGTTTTTGATCTGAAACGATACCCGTTGATCAGTTTGCTTCTCGAACACGTGAAGAAGTCCTTCACAATTCTTCCCCTCCCGTTTCGAAGATGACTCCTTTGACTCGAAAGAGAAAGGCTATAGACGACGCCGCTCAAATCAGGCAGAAGAAGACGGCTAGCAAGGGGCAAGGCTGTTGAGGATTTTCGCAATAACGGTAGTTACATAATTTAATCATTTAAACTATCTGTGTACCATCCTTCTAATTCTACTTTGCAAACGTTACGCATACGAAGCAAGTTAATCGAGAGAATGTTACGCAGGTTAAAGCAAACCTACCCACGCTCGGAAAAGACAAAGACACCCAGAACATAAATCATCTTAGGAAAGATAATTTGGTCGAATTTAGTAATGACACAGATACTGTCATAGATGCCAATGTGGACAAATGCAATATGTGCTCCCAATTGGAAGTGCAAGCAAAGTCAGACGCGGAGTTGAATCGAGTATTAAGCTGGAGTGTCATCTCTGCCATTGCCAGGAGATATTACAGAAGCAGAGTGAGTTAAGCTTGAAGAGAAGAATAGAGAGGGTTTAGTGCGGAACCAGAGTAGGCTTCGCTGTTATTGTGAATTCAGAGGGTGTAATAGAGGGTTGGAAGGCTTTTGCGGAAGATGATAATGGAGAATACGCCAGCGAACCGTTCCAAGTACAAATCGCATATACGCTGGGATTTTATGCAAGGTTTGGAAGAGTAAAATTTTGGCTGCCACCAAAGGAGCTGAATAGTATAGTAGCATGCAAGCATTTCGAGGACATTTAGCCTATTCTGGGGGAGAGACTAAAGGTTACGAATTATCTTATGGACCTTCTTGCCTCATATCATGGCCTGGACAAGCTGTGGAAGCGGAATGTGGTGTGTTTGTGTAAATATATGTATGAATGATGGTGTCCTAAGGGCAGTAAAGAAGCTATATATATGCCTGTACGCAGCACGTAACACCTTACAATAGTAATGAGTTTGCTCCCAGATTATAAGAGATTACGAAGGCATGATATATTATTATGACTTCTATAGTACTTTGCACTTATTAAGTTTGTATTGTCTTAATAGTTTCCTGCTACTTGAAATCTTAAAGAACTTCCAAATTTGACAAAGTTATGCCTTCTTTCTAGCTAACTCGGTTGTAACACCGACCTCTTCCACGCTTCTCCTTTCCCACTAAAACAGTGGCCAACTTCGGATCAAGTTGATCGCTTATCGAAGGGTCTCTTAAATCGGGAATAACTTCTCTTTCCATGTCTCGGAAGCCGAAGAAGTTCATTGGGATTGAGTATGGAGGAGGAAGAGGCCGAGTAGAAACGTAGATTATAGAGATAAATTATGATGGGATTGTAGTAGCTTCACTACAGCCTCGTGTCCGTTCCATGCCGCATACGACAGCGGCGTCCGTCCGTGGCTATCCTTGGTATTCGGGTCGACTCTGTCCGTCGCAAGCAGCAGCTTGACCACCACCTCGTCCCCTTTTCCTGCTGCCCATGACAGCGGCGTCCGCCCACACTTATAATCCTTGGGGTTTGGGTTGACACTGTTATTAGCGAGTAGCAGCTGGACCACCTCCACGTGACCGTTTCGTGCCGCATACAACAGCGGCGTTAGTCCATTGTTAGCCTTGGAATTCGGGTCGACTCTGTCCGTAGTGAGAAGCATCTTGACCACCGCCTCGTCCCCATATCTTGCTGCCCACGACAGCGGCGTCTGTCCATAGGAAGAGTCCTTGGAGTCCGGGTCAACTCCGTCCGTAGCGAGCAGTAGCTTGACCACAGCCTCATGCCCGCTCCCTGCCGCCCATGATAATGGGGTCCGTCCATATTCAGAATCCTTAGAGTCTGGGTCGACCCTGTCTATAGTAAGCAGCAGCTTGACCACCTCCTTGCACCCATTCTCTGCTGCCCACGACAGCGGCGTCTGTCCATAGGAAGAGTCCTTGGAGTCCGGGTCAACTCTGTTCGTAGCAAGCAGCAGCTTGACCACAGCCTCATGCCCACTCCCTGTCGCCCATGATAGCGGCGTCCGTCCATAGGAAGAGTCTTTGGAGTCCAAGTCGACTCTGTCCGTAGCGAGCAGCAGCTTGACCACCTCCTTGCACCCGCTCCCTGCCGCCCACGATAGCGGCGTCCGTCCATAGGAAGAATCCTTAGAGTCCAAGTCAACTCCGTCCGTAGCAAGCAGTAGCTTGACCACCTCCTTACACCCGCTCCCTGCCGCATACGACAGCGGCGTCCGTCCATACTCAGAATCCTTAGAGTGCAGGTCGATTCCGTCCGTACTGAGTAGCAGTTTAATTATTGCCTCATGTCCATTCCTTGCAGCCCACAATAACGCTGTCCGTCCATACTCAGAATCCTTGGAGTTCGGGTCGATTTTGTCGGTAGCGAGCAGTAGCTTAACCACACCCTCGTGCCTGTTCTCTGCCGCCCACGACAGCGGCGTCTTTCCGTAAGAATCCTTGGGGTTCAGGTTGACTCCGTCCTTCGCGATCAGCAGCTTGACGATGGCCGCGTGCCCTCTAGACGAAGCCGCCTGCAGCGCTGTGCCGTCGTGGCCGCCTTTCGCGTTGACGTTGGCTCCCTTCTCGAGCAGTAGTGTGACGATGGCCGCGTGCCCTCTAGACGAAGCCGCCTGCAGCGCTGTGCCGTCGTGGCCGCCTTTCGCGTTGACGTTGGCTCCCTTCTCGAGCAGTAGTGTGACGATGGCCGCGTGCCCTCTAGACGAAGCCGCCTGCAGCGCTGTGCCGTCGTGGCCGCCTTTCGCGTTGACGTTGGCTCCCTTCTCGAGCAGTAGTGTGACGATGGCCGCGTGCCCTCTAGACGAAGCCGCCTGCAGCGCTGTGCCGTCGTGGCCGCCTTTCGCATTGACGTTGGCTCCCTTCTCGAGCAGTAGTGTGACGATGGCCGCGTGCCCTCTAGACGAAGCCGCCTGCAGCGCTGTGCCGTCGCGGCCGCCTTCCGCGTTAACATCGGCTCCCTCGTTTAGCAGTATCTGGACTACTCCCTTATATCCTCCTAGAACGGCAGCATATAGGGCATTGCCAGAGACTCCAGTGCTCTGATTAATATCTGCACCCTGACCTAGTAAGAGCTTCAGAACTTCTTCATGCCCATTTGCGGCTGCACACTCTAGAGCCGTACTCCCGTCTTTATTCGTTGCCACTATATTAGCACCAACATCGAGGATCATTTTGACCAGATCTATGTGACCCCAGCGAGCAGCATAATGAAGTGCACTGTTACCTGAATCATCTCGTTCATCTACCTTCACACTTCCGCTTAGAAGAATCTGGACAGCGCTTCGAAGATTAGAGCTCGATGCGACATGTAGTAGTGTCGATCCCAGCTCAGGACACTTTGCGTTATATTTAGCTATGTTACGAAAGGTCTTTATCCAAGTCTGAAAAGCTTGTCCTGGGGGACATCCGAGTTGCTGGACAACGTCCTGTTGCAAACTTCCAAGATGTTCAGCTTTCTCTGCGTGTAAGAACCAGTACCTTGTAGCATAGTCTATGAACGGAAGAGACTCTAGAAGTAGGGATCTTTCCGTTTCTGGGTCATTCAACGAAGTGCCCCGTAATGCTGAGCCAGCAAGTAGAACTTCCTCTGAGCTCAGATAATTAACACAAGACTTGCATAGTCGATGCTGACTTTGGCCGATAACGACATCCGCCGACAACGCGGTAGGAGACGGTGAAGCAAGGTACTTTAAACCATCCGATCGTAGAAAATCATTAACAGATTGATGGATGAATTGTACAGTGGACTCTGCCTTGTGATGCTTAACCTCGACAAGGCCACCAGATAAACTAGTAATCAGCCTCTCCATACGCACATTAGTGTCTACAAAGTCCTTTGTATCTTTGCAGAATTGTCGGGGCTCATGAATATGGACGTCATTTGAGGCAATAGCAAACCGTAGCTCTGTCACCGATAGTGGTCTTTCGGCTAGGCAGATCCACTGCATCAGATGCAGTGTTCTCGTCCGATTCCGAGGTTCAATGACCCTCATGAGAATATGTTCGTAAATGTTGCCGAGATCTTGTGGCACTTTGCTTAACTCTTGATGAATGTAAGCCAACGACTCTCCTTGTCGACTAAGATCAATGATCAGAAGAACAACGAGACGTGCCCATTGGAATACTCCTGATGCTCTTTCGACGATGGTCTTCTCAAGTGCTTGACATTCGTCAACTGAGAGTGTCGCCATTTCCCGTTTTGGAATTTCAGTATTGAGCCTGTGCTTGATGTACTTTACAATATCATCGTGATTTTCGTCCTCAACGCAGATCTTGAGACTGGTATTGGTTGATAATATTGGATAATGCCGGCAGGAGATGCAGATTCTTGCCATGCCTCTCTCAGCTGCAAGTTTGTCGTTCAAGCGGTGGAAGTATTCAGCGAGATCCTTTGCAACATCGCGACCAGCCTCATCTAACGCGTCCACAAAGATGGTTATCGACAGCAATTTGGCGGCGCGAATGAGAGCAATGGAGAAAAGGTCTTCCAATTCTCTGCGCTGCCACTCCCAACCCGTCCCAGCCTCGCCAAACACTCTCTTCTCTTTATAGGCAGCGCGTACTGGTAGTCGGACCGAAGGAACCTTGGTATACAATTGATGCAAGAGAGACCGAAACATGCCAATTGGAGTCTTCTGTAGTGCAGCGCCCCGTCCATGGAAGAAAAAGTCGAGACATAAGCTCTGCTTCGAAAGAGTATTTTTTTGGAATGACAGATAAATAAACGCCATTAATGTTGACTTCCCAGCACCAGGCTTTCCTTTAATCCAAAGCAATTCGCGTTCGTTGCCTATCCATGCCGTATACGACTTATGTTGCAGTGCCCACTCACATGTATGTAAATAAGCTCGATCTGGGACATCTGCCTCTTGGCGTCGGTGGGTAATCTCGGGAAAGGCGAGGGATTGGAGGCAGGCTTACACAGGTTAGCGTTTTCATTCCACAGAGAAGGTGAAGGGTCGAGGAAGTCATACAAAGGTCTTCCAATGTCATTGCCTCGTCTTTCACTGCCGTGAAATAAGCTTTTGTCACAAGGTGCGAGACCTTCGGCCCCACACGATTTCACAGGTAGATATTCTTGAATAAATGACTACTGACGTTGATTGAGCTCCTCGACCCAATCCTGGAGCACGTTCAAAACGCTTTTGTATGCCTCACTAGTCCCTCCAGTGAATCTACATATGCTTTTATGATCGCAGTCATGCATAGGTACAATTCTCTCGTCCGCAATATCCATAATACCGCTGATACCATCGACAATCTATCCACCGTGCATTAGCATTAACCCGGGCCAATTGACTCGCTGGAGGAATAACATACCCTTGACTTTGCAGGTGGGGTGCAACTCTGCTCAATAAAAGAGGCGATCTTCATATTTCGCGTCTGATTTCTGAAGCTGGTTGAAATTTCCTTAAGGCTCTTAGAGTCTTTCTTAAGACCTTCAATGAGATCTGATCTCATAGCTCCAGTAAACCGCGACGTTCCACGCAATGCTAAATTAGCTATGCTCGTCAATATCATCGGGAACTGAGTTTCAGACGATCCACGGTGAGGTGTGCCGAGGAAGAGGATACCGGCTACAGATTTTCGGATAGGATCGAACAATTCATCTTCAATCTTGGCAATGACGAGTGCCTGTGTTGCTGTCAGGTAAGGATCTTAGCGCAAAAAGTATATCATACTTTCTTGACCACGAGTCCCCCCATACTGTGGCAGGCGAATATCACTGGGCGCGTTTGATCCTAGGGAAGTGTTAAAGACTTGTGTACGTGAAGAGCACATAGAATATGAATAACGTGCAGGTATTATAAGTACAAGATAATCCGTACTCTTCAACCTCACTGATTAAATCGCGTTGGGGGATTTTCAACTGTACGAACCTCTTTCTTCCTGCGCTCTCCCTTCAATTTCTCCAATAGATCTCTGGCATATTCATCGAGAGTCCCTGTACTAAATGTGCAAAACACTGATGCGGGGTATCCATATGAAAAGACTCGAGCGCCTGGCAAGTCTTTCGGTATAAGATCTCGGAGCCAAAAGTTTCCATTGTCGTGAGTCCACGTGTCATAGGCGTCTCCCATTATCCCGTGAACTGCTACAATATCCAAGGAATTTGTTTCCTGATCCTCGACATCGCCAGGGGCAGAGACTGACGGGTGAAGCGGAAATAAGCCATATTTTTCGGTGCGGTTAAAGGTCGGGGCTTGCCCCGTCTGTTGTGAATCGGTTTGGAGGGTTGGACTGGTCTGTTGTTCAATAGATGGCATATTTTCAGAGGGTTCGACAATGGCTGGGGCAGCCGCCGAGCGAGGGCGAGAGGTGTCTTCCTTCTCCTTCTTTCGCGAAAGTATGTTCCTTAGAGATGGCATCGTAGCTAGTGTATAATAGGTCAGGCCTTTGCTTGCAAAGTCCATAGTCTGATCGCAATCGTGCTTGCCTTTAATTTTCAACCTGGTAGCAACACTGCGAATCTGGCAATCCTATCAACTGCGACCAGGCTGCCCTACGCCGCAATAGCGCTTGCTGTCCTAGGCTGCTTCGAGATGCGCTAGACTTTTCACGAGACTAGTTCAATATCTTCGAGATCTAACAGAACCGTAATACAAAGTACAATATTGTTTTGATGAATGAATAAGCAAAGACGGACGCTCCGTGAACAGACAGTGATGATGAACAGCGCATCGAAAGCTACGGCAGAATATATCGTGGATTAGTAAGCGAGCCTTCCTTACCGCCTCACTAGATTTTTACCCCCAACCACCACCAACATCATATGGATACCACCGATAACATAAATATCTCCACAAGTACGCATCTACGTACTCTGCAATCGAGATATATTAAGTTCCACATGACCGGCGCACGTTGATCAAAGCGCCAGACCGGCGAGGCGCCAAGGGACGATTCCCTCCCAAAACGGGCGAATACCAACAGCCTAGCGTCTTTCTCAGCAGGGCAGTCCTACCACGAGTGGATCCAAGGAAGAAAAAGAAGCTATTGATACCGGTAGAATCGAGTCCTACTTCGCGGGCCCATAGTCACGTCCGAAAAGAAGTGATTGACGTGTCTAGCACTCCTACTTCTGAGGCCCCCGTTCACGGCTCTTCTCCTACCCTTACCGGCACTCCAATTACACGTCGATCCAAGAGCGTAGTTAAAGCACCTCCTACATTCGATCCTAATACGGAATGAGATGGCGAACACCATGTCTTAATCACCTTCATTCCAGTCATTGATTTCAAACCTTAAGCCCGGGCAAATCCATACCCTCAATATCAACGATCCCCATCCGAGCTTCCTTCGATGATTTATGGGAGGTTCCTTATACTGGCTACGTTCGAAAATGGGAGAATACATGCAAGTTAAGGGGGGCAGAGAGAGCTCGAAGAGGTGATTGGACAGTTATTATTGGGAACTAGCTATTGTACTAATTCTGGGAGTTCTAAAGCTTATTTCTACTAATACTAGGACCTTAATAGGCTAGGGGCACGCTGTTACGCACCTTTGGCACGCGATGGCGTGCGGAGTATATGCGCATACCCTGAGTATATAAGCATTCCTTGAGGATATACTTTTTAAGCAATTATAAGGAGCAAGAGAGGGACGTGCTTCTTGCCCACTTTTTGTACGTGTGCCGGGGGCTAAAGAATAGCCGAAAAAGAAAGCCTTACTTTATAATAAAATTGCAAAAATTAGCTTGCTAAGCACGGGAGAAGGGAGCTAGAAGGGAATTAAATTCTCAATTATATAAGTATTATAAGGCACGCAATAATAGAGTAATATATAAGTAGTTAAGGTAAGTAAGCTTTAGAATAGCGCTTGCAAGTATAACTAATTTCCAAGAATTAATTCTAATAAAGAACTAATTAATACCCCTTTTTAAAGCTAAAAGTATCTCTTTATATATTCTCTAATATTTAGTTAAATATATAAAGCCCTTTATTTAATTAAGAAATATAATCTCATATAATTTATATAATTCCGATATAAGCTTAATTTAAAATAGGAAATCAAATCTATAATATTTAATACTTATTTATATATTATTATATATACTTATTATATTAATTTCCTTTCTAAGCTTCTATTTTTAAAAGGCTTTAGAAAACTGCAAATAGCTTTATATATATCTTTTAAAACTTTCCCGATTCTTAATTTCCTTTAAAAACTCTATATATTTATTTTATTTATCTAATTAACTTATAATATAAGATATTTATTAATAGGCAATAAAATAATAGAATAAATTAATAAGTTATAAAACTATAATATTAAATTTAATATAAAACTAGTTTCTATTTCTTTTATAAAGTTTAAGGAAACCTTCTTTAAATAAAAGCTCCTAATAATATATATATATATATATATATTTAGTAATTTATAAGCTTAAAGCCTATAATATAAATAGTAATATAATTATAATATTAAAGAACTATTAATCTTCTTAATTAATATTTGTAATATTCGAGATTTATTATATATTCTTTAGTTATATATAACCTTATATATATTATAACTATATTTCTCTTTTAGGATTTTATTTCCAAGATTAATTAATTTATTCTAGTAAAATATTTATTTAATTATATATTTAATTAAAGTAAATTTCTAATATTTTAGGAAATAGATTTACTAATATTGTAACGGCTGGTGTCACATGATTAATACGAACGTGGTTTCAGCCAAGGGGTTGGTTTCAGCTAAGGTTCCAAGCTATGGTTCAAACCAAGCTCGCTTCCAAAGCTCGGCGTTTCAGTGGTTTTGGCCATACCTACTTATCCACTGCCACACCTCACTCCTTCTCTCCTTAGCTTTAGATTCTGTAGGACATTGTAATCATAGATCTTTGAGCATCGTTCCATTGCTTTGTTCCTGCCGTCACAGTGCGGGACATCTTGCTTTCCCCGACTAAAGGGTTGGGCCCCTTTAGCGCGACGTCAAGTCCGACTATTACTATCCCCCCCCCCCCCCCCCCTAAACACTTATAGTGGGTCCAACATTCGCCTCACTCTCATGCCACGATTCACACCACTAAAGGCACGCAATGAGTCTTTACTGCTTTCTACTTCGAGTGAGCCAGTACTCACTGGGCTTTCTGCCGCTCTTATAGTGCAAGTTGTACTGTAAGCTAGAAGCTTCTACGTGCTCTGATTAGCTAAAAATAGGGTGAGGCGTGGCGTGAGTGAAGCATAAGAGTGCGGCGAATATCGGACCCACTATCCCTTCGTCCGGTGAGACATTGCCAGGCGCTAGCAAGGGGGGGTCCCGCACTGAACGGGGGGGCTCGCCTGGCACACGGAGCATAATAATTATGTACCTTTGCATACAAATTTATTAGTAAGCTACATCGCTTAAATGAAATCGCTGCCAGCACTCCCCCTCTTTACAGAGCGGTATATCACAAAAAACACACCCACCCTGTGAGCGTTTTGCTATACCATTTACCCCTTTTCCTAAGACCCTTTTGCACTTTAATTCATACGAACACCAAGTGCACGTGCTTCTTTTAAGGCGTTTTTCCCAGTAATGCAAGTGCGGGGCTTCGGGATTAAATACCCTCTTACCCCCCAATCCCCTTTGCAAGCTCGCTAGCTTTACCTTCTCAGAATACCCTAATAGCTTACAATAAAGCTCGATTCTGAATTGCAAATGCGTAAGGGGGCGTTCCTCCACTGTACTTAATTGGTAAAGCCTATAACCATTTATACAGGCTACCTCAATTAGCCAGTAAAACAAGGGCCACCAATTCCTAAGGGTAGGCTTGTGACTCTCGTACACTTCCCTGAATTGGTTTGCCAGGTCCACCCCTCCCATATATTAATTATAATCATTAATAAAGCTGGGAATCTGAAGCTCTTTTATTAGTATTTCGCCAAAAACCTCCCGTATGATTCGCCCATTTGTGGACGTCTTTACAGGATGTCTTCTCTCCTTTACTCGCCAGTCCTCTGCTTTATCCACGGTATGAATATTACTTAAAGCTAAGACAATACTATTATCTTGCCAAGCTAAGCAAAGCATATTCTCAACCACTGCCGCAAGCAAGGTATTCCATTCTAGCTTCGTGGCGAACCGATTTTTAATTGCTAATAATTCCGATGTATTACAATAAAACATTGTTGTTGTATTGTAATAATAATATATTGATAGATGAAGAGGAAAGAGAGGTGTGGCACGAGTGGCCAAAGCTTAAATACAGGAATGTAGTCACGTGAGCCTGCACGTGACTACTAGTACGCAGTTGCCATGCAACACGATGGAAATAGCTTGTATGGGCGAGTAGTACCCACTGTACTAAATTTACAGGCTTATAGCTCTGAAAATAAGGGTACAGAGATAAAGTAATTATCGAGGTATATTATAAGGTAGCGGCGTGGGAGGGAAAGTGCCAGATTTCGTATGAGAGAACCGGTATTTATAAGGGTTGGATAAAGAGTTATTTTTTAAAGCCCCTTTTCTCGCAAGCTCTATATCCAATTATATATATATCCGTAATCCGCAAGTCTGTAGATTTTATACCCTTATTTAATAGGTTTCTTGGGCATTTTATATATGTGTGAGGATCTAAATTAATTAGCGGGGTAGCGGGGTAAGAGAGGAAGAAAGAGAAACGTACCTGTAAGGCACGTAATAGCAGGGTAATATACAAGTAGTCAAGGTAAGTAAGCTGCGGAGTGACGCTTGCAAGTGTAACTGATTCCAAGAATTAATTTCAATAAAAGACTAATTAATACCCCTTTCCAAAGCTAGAAGTGTCTCCCTATATATTCCCTAGTACTTAGCCAAGCCTGCGAAGCACTTTACTTAACTAGGAAATATGATTTCCTGTAATCCGTATAATTCTGATTACCTGTATAATTCCGATTATAAGCTTTACCTAAAATAGGAAACTAGATCTACGATATCTAATACCTATCTATACGCCATTACGTATACCTATTATATTAATCCCCTTTCTGGGCCCTTGTTCCTAAGAGGCCTGAGGAAACTGCGAATAGCTTTATAAATAATTCCCTGAAACTTTTCTGGCTATTAGTCCTCCCTAAAGACTTCCCATAATTGCCTTATTATTACGCCAGGTAATAGACTTGAGGATATAGTTTACTAATCCTGCCTAGCTAACCCGTAAATTGCCTCTGGTAATTCTTTCTTATAAAGGTAGTACGGGTATAGTATATACTATTAGATAGGAAGCTTTTCCGGTTTTCTAATTAGTTTATAAATCCTAACTTAGCCTTTATTTGCAAATAAATTATTACTTTATAGG